TGAGTTCATTCACTAGACTGGCACAGGGGAGTAGAAATATTTCCATCTTGCCTTCTTTCCCCCCCTCTAAAACCTGGTACTAGTGATGTAAGCCTTGAAGAGAGATGTGCTGGCTTCATAATGGTAGGTGGCAGGGATTCAGCAGGTGCCTTGGGTTTGGCACTATCGGTTAGGTGTTACTCTACAATAGCTTACAAATGTGTAATGGGACACAGTGACCTATCAAATCATTGAGACTCCTTTCATGCCTCAGAATAGAGTTACGTTTTGGGGGACATGTTCTCCCAAGCTATATTAGGGTTCTTATTTTATTTTATTTTTATTTTTTTATTTTTCATGCAACGCCAAGTATAGAGGGCCTGGTGAATACTAGGAAGCATCCTATTACTGAGACACATGCCTAGCCTGCTTTTACTTTTTTTTTTTTTTTTTCCGAGACAGGGTTTCTCTGTGGCTTTGGAGGCTGTCCTGGAACTTGCTTGGTAGTCCAGGCTGGTCTCAAACTCACAGAGGTCCGCCTGCCTCTGCCTCCCGAGTGCTGGGATTAAAGGCGTGCGCCACCAACGCCCGGCCTGCTTTTACTTTCTACAAATTATTTTGTCTACATATGTGTGCCCACATTCATGCCTTGGCTTGTATGGAAGTTGGAGGTCAGCTTGTGGGAGTTGGTTCTCTTCACCGCACGGGACCCAAGGCTGCATCTCGGGTTGTCAGGCTTGGTGACAAGGAGGCTGTGCTGCAAGTTTCAGGCCATCCTAAACTCCAGGAAACCCTGCCACCTCACCTATCCCTATTTTCACTCTTGAGACAGAGGCTCACGAGTTTGCCCAGGCAGATCTGGAACTTTTGATCATCTTGATCAGCCTCCTGAGCATCTCAAGACGATACTATTTAGTATGCTTTCAGTGTGGTGAAGGTTTTCACAGCATTCTTTTCTTTAATCTAATCCAGGTACTAAATTGCAACACTGAGATTTACACACAGGTTTCTTTCTTCCTCCCTTTCTTTTTTTTTTTTTTGAGGTAAGGATTCTCTGTGTACTCCTGGCTGTCCTGGAACCCCATCTGTAGACTAGGTTGGCCTTGAACTTAAGAGATCCACCTGTCTTTGCCTCCTGAGTGCTGGGATCAAAGGTCTTAGAAAAAAGAAAAGTTTGTTCTTAATTCTTTTTCTAAAAATGTAATTCTGTATTAGTGTTTTGCTTGCACATGTGCCCGTGTATCACATGCATGCCTGGTGCCTGCAGAGACCTGAAGAGGGCACTGGATGCCTTGGGACTGGAGTTATAAACAGTTGTGAGCCATCATGTGGGTGCTGGGAATCCAGCCCAGATCCTGTAGAAGAACAGCCAGTGTTTCTAACCACTGAGCCATCTCTGTAGCCCTTGTTTATAATTTTTAAAAAAAGTTTATTTATATTTATATGCATTGGTGTTTTGCCTGCATGAATGTCTCTATGAAGATGTCAGTTCCTCTGGAATTACAGACAGTTGTGAGCTGCCATGTGGGTGGGGGAACTGAACCCAGGTCCTCTGCAAGAGTAACCAGTGCTCTTAACCCCTGAGCCATCTCTCCAGCCCTTGTTTTTAAATTTTAATGATTTGGAAAAAAATCTACTTAAGGGTCCTCTAATAAAAACAATTGCTTTGTTTCTGGGTAGAGTGAATTTTAATTGAATAATGTTCAAGAGTGGATAATACCATAATGCAATGGTGAGTTACCACAAAGGATTATTTGGTTAACAAAATTTACTTCGCTACAAATTATGATTATATAAGTGATTAAATAGAGCATGGCTTCCTTTAGCATCCAACCTATTTTGTTTTAATATTGATGTGCTTAAGGCTAGATTTTCAAACACTACTTAATAGGCAGCAGTGGAAAAAAAAACCAACAACACAGGCTTAGATATTTCTATGTTATAATATTGTTTGCAAAGTTAATCTGAATCAAATGAAAACAGTATATAGTATTTTTAACAAAAAACATACGAAGCTGACATTTTTACAGCTAAAATGATCAACTACTGCCAATGTCACACAGCTCAGCTTATTTTTTAAATTTTACATTCATAGTCAGTACTAAGTAGAAGGCAAGTTTCATTACAACAGGGGTTTTGTCACTGGTGTGCAGAGAGTTAGAGTTCAGGAAAACGGTTACTGGCTGGAGATGAAGTTCAATGGTAGGACACGTGCTTGGGCATGGGCAAGGCTCTTGGTTCAGTCTCCATCCCTGAAAGACAGTCAGGCGGGAGAACTAGGAGGAGAAGGAAGAAGGGAGGGGAAGGAAGAGGATGACAGGGGAAGAAGCAGTCTTCTCGAATGGGTGATGTGGACAGGGAAATTGTCAGTAGGGTGTGGTGCAGCTGTAATACAGCACTCGGGAGAAGGAGGCAGGAGGATTGTAAATAAAAGAGAAGAACCCACCATCTTCCAAACACAAGGCACCTTTTTGTTTACATTTAGGTGGGACTAAAAAAAAAAGTAACGAACGGGGCGTTGGTGGCGCACGCCTTTTATTCCAGCATTCGAGAGGCAGAGGCAGGGGGATCTCTGTGAGTCTGAGGCCATTCTGGTCTACAGAGAGAGTTTCAGGACAGCCTCCAAAACAATACAGAGAAACCCTGTCTCGAAAAAAACCAAAAAAAAAAAAGTAACGAAATGATAAAAATATTTATTTCAAAGCTCACTCAAGAGTTTTGGAAATCTTTGTTCACACTAAAACTTATGCATGAATGTTCACAAACAGTATTCTTCATAACAGCCCCAAAAGGAGATACACTCTCAATTTCCAACGACTGGTAAAAGGATAAATAAAATGTGGTACATCTATGCAAGGGGATATTAGTCATAAGAAAGAGTAAGGAACTAATACATGGGTCAACATGAATGAGCCATGAAGAGACTGTGCTAAGTAAAAGACACTGAGGTCATAGATTGTGTTACCTATTCATATAAAGTGTCCAGAGTAGGCCAATCAAGAAAGATAGAAAATACATTAATAAGCCAGGTGGTGGTGGCCCACGCCTTTAATTCTAGCACTTGGGAGGTAGGCGGATCTCTGAGTTCTAGACCAGCCTGGTCTACAGAGAGAGTTCCAGGACAGCCAGGGCTACAGAGAGAAACCCTGTCTCGAAAATACTAAAAACAAACAAAAAACCCATAAAAAACCATTAACAGTGTCAGGAGGTGGGAAGGGGGGGAGGAAACAGAAATGACTAATAGGTATTGGGTTGGTTTATTATTATTTTTTGAAATGATGAAAATGTTCTGGAATTAGAACATGGGGGGCAGTGGTTATGCAACTTTGTGGCTGCAAAACAATTACATACATACTTTACTTTAATATTGTAACGGAAGTATTTAAGTGTATGGGTAATCTGCCTGCCTGTTCGTCTCTGTACCACTTGTGTGCCTACTGTCCAAGGAGGCCAGAAGAGGGTACCATGCTCCCCAGAACTGGAGTTACAGCTGCTTGAGAGCCACCATGTGGTGCTGGAAATTGAACAAAAGTCCAATAGAAGAGCAGTCACGGCCTTTAGCCACTGAGCCGTCTTCCCAGCCCTGAGTGTACACTTTACAAGGACAAATTTTTGGTATGTGAACCAAGGTCTAGGGCCCCAAGCATGGCAGGCATGTGTTCTGGGGACGAAATGCACCCCCAGTCAACCCATGGTATTTATTTTTAAGTAGAAAACAAAAAAACCCTCCTATGATGTCCTCTCCAAAGCAGGGCAAAATCCATTGTAAGATAGTAGATAGGTGTTTACGAAGGACAGGGTATTAGGAAATGTTCCCTTGTTTAATTATAATCTGGGTTGGAATGTTTGGAGATTTCAGCAATCTGACAGCTAACATTAAGAGGATTAACATGACTTCCTTACTGTTAATATCAATTTAATCTGCATCATTCAAAAACTAGTCACACTGAAATAATTATAGCAGTGACTTCACGAAAAAATCACTAATTAGATTAACAATCTATTAAGCCTGTCATCATTTAAATTTTTACTTCCTGAAGTACTGAATTGTGCCTTAAGATCTAAGGCAAAGGCGGCTCACACCTCTAGCTACATAATCAAAGGCAGAAAAGAGGATGGGTTGGGACGGAGATTTATTAGCCATGATGACATTCAGGACTGGAACACAAAAGGAAACAGGACTTGCGAAATTTAAACTATCTTTAGTGCAGATAGTTAAATAACAAGAACTAAAATCTTTATATCGTATCGTACAATTAATAAGAAACACATAGACATACACAAGACTGCGGTTAGGGGCAGAGTATGAGTAAAAAAAATTATATATATATAGCACCTAACAGCCAGAAAGGTTCTCTTTTGTTTTGGAGCCAAAATAAGAACAAAAATAAAAACAAAACAAAACAAAACAAAAAACCCAAAAGAGGAAAAAACTGAGCCGGCTTAAATCCTTTTAAGAGTAGACTGGATTGCGTCGTAACTACCACGCTTAGTGCGCGCAAGGGCGGAGGACCCTTTGACCCGCTGACTCTGCTGCAGACCCGGCCAACCTCCAGTAGTGCCCCTCACTTTAACCAGCGCGGAGGACGCGCTCTCTTCATGAATCCCCTGATTCGGAAGGAGCCAGTAATTAACCCTTCTAAAAAGAATTTCCAGTCTTTCATTGGAACAAGCACTTGGATACTGCTTTGCAACAGTTAACCAAAACCTGGCAGCAGGGAAGAGAAGTGGGGCGACTGGCCTTTTCTCATCAGCGCTCCAGGCACCCTGGCTTTCGCCTTCAGCAAAACAGCTCCCCCGGCCCGCACTCAGCCTCTCCCGGAACCGACGCGCCGCAGTGACCCCGAAGCAAACGGGTCTCAGAGCGCCCCCAAAGTGGTCCGGGCTCGCCCACTTCACCCCCACGCTGCGGAGTCGTCCCCACGCCCCCTGCAGCCGGAGTCGTCGCGGCTCCTTTAACTCGGCTTGCACAGGAGGGAGAGCCGGGCCAGGTCCTCCCGCCTCCTTCTCCGCCGCTCCCTCCCCCCTCCCATGGCAGTTTCAGGTGAATGGGTCACGGAGGGAGGAGGCCGGCTGCGCCACACCTTGCCGCTGGTGCCCACCCCTGCCCCCTCCTTCCTCAGGCGACGGCGCTGGAGTTGAAGGACAGAGGTCTAGCACACGACCGAGCGGCCGGCCCGGGGCGCAGCAGGTGGGTCCGGAGCGCGCGGCCCCGGCGGGCTCGGCCTGAAATTGGTGCGCATGCCCGGGGGCGGGGGAGGGGGAGAGGACGGAGCTCCGGGCTCAGTGGGAGCCGTCGGCGCGCGGCGCAGGTGCACCCGCCAGGTGAGCGCTCGGGGTTCCCGTCGCCCAGGCGGCCCCGGCCTTGGCGAGTGGGTGCGAGGCAGGTGCGGCGACCGGGAGGGGGGTCCCCTCCCCGAGGGCGACAGCGCGGCGACTGGGAGGCGCGGGGAGGGCACGCGGAGCTAGTTTCGGTGGCAGTTTCGCCCTGGACTTGGGGCTCGCGGGAACCCGAGACGCGCGGGTATCTGAGCGCTGCGTGGGAGGATTTTGGGGGGCTCTCTCGTCGAAGCCGCCGGCGAAACCTTCTCCACCACAAATAACCTGGGCAACTTTCTGCTGTTTAGAGGCGGGCGCCTCGTGGGCGGATCCAGCGCTCAGCTAGGGCGCTGGAGATCTGTGGGCTCTCGGGGTCCCCGGTTAGGGCTGGAGAGGGGCGGCACAGGACGTTACTCCTGGCTCCCGCACTTCTGGGTAATTTCATTCTGGCGGAGGGGGAAGCCGGGGGTCTTCCGCAGTCTCCCCAGAGTCTCGGGCGTGTTTGGAACTGGGGGCGGTGCGTGCGCTCCTGTTGATTTCAGCTCTCCGAGTTCTTTTCGAGGGAGGCTGGATTTCGAGGGAAGCTGCTAACGTTGTGGATTCTCATCCGTGACCGCGGACCTGCCCCGGGGCAGAGCCTGCTCTGCCTCCCTGCTCCGGCCCGGCTGTTGCCGAGCACAGAGCGGCCGTGGGGCGCACGCACGGTCGCGGGGACCCGCAGCTTGCCTAGGCTGCCCACTTTGCAGACATCCCCGGGCAAAGCTGGCCCCGCGAGTCCAGCGGCCAGTGGCCTGCGTTGGAGGAAGTATGAAGGGACAAGTGGGTGGGGACCAAAATGGCTTCTGAATCTTGGCGCTGAAACAACTCCGAGCCCCTTGCGCCTCAGGTGGAGTGACCGAACCCTACCTAGCAGGAGCGGCGGTATCCTCCGGCCTGCCCCCGGCTCACCGGGCAAAGTGCCACTAGGGGAATTACCGGGGGCGGGGAGGAGGCAACTTTCCAGGCAGGTTAGTAGTGTGTGGCTCTCGGGCACAACAGGTGTGTTGCGGGGATCCCGGGAAAAAGAGAAACTTTCCCAATGCGGCGCTTTCAGGTGATGCTCTCTGTGATTGGTGGGTTGTTTCAACTACAAATCCTCGTGTGTAGCCGTAGGTCCTTAAATTTCCACAGGTGGTGGTTTTGTCTTTTCTTTGGGTTTATCTACTTATTAGTGCTGCTTCCTTTGTTAGGTGATGGGATGGCGAGGTTAGCAAGCCAGGTTTGGGGGAGTGGGGGGAGGTACTCTGGTGCTCTCTGTCTTCTGGCGGCTTCCCGGCAGAACCTCCCTGTATGAGATTCTTTGTTAAAAGGATATCCTACTAGAACTTCATCTTAAGGGTTTGGGAATGGGCTACCTCAGAACCAAACAAACACCCCCCCAGCCCTAAAACAAAATGCCTCAAAATTTACATCAGGCGTGATACAGAAAACGTAAGCCAAACCATAAGGATTAGTTAACTGTAGAGAATTTCGAGGCATTTTTAAATCCAACCCATTTTGTACCCCCCCCCACCGTTAAAATGGAGATTTGTGTGTGTGTGTGTGTGTGAGTGTCACTTGCTCATTGGGCAATTTTGCATTCTGGGGAGTACAATTCAGGGCTCTGCTCTGCTAGGTAAATGCCCTACATGTAGCTCAGGTATGTCCTCTCAACTCCCAAGCAAACTTGTTTTAGTTTTTAATCTTTCTTGGCTGTTGTTTGGGGTACCTAGTTTGTTTTTCTTTTTCTGAAGTGCTTGTGAGTTGGAGATTGGGATGGGGTCTTTTATTCTGCCTTTCTAACAAGCCCACAAGTAAGCCTGTACAGTTGCCCCCGCCCCCCACTTTCTTTATCGCAGAATGTAAACACGGACTTTCAGCCGACCTCGATTTGATATATTTACTGTTAGTTTGTGTAGTTGACGACATTCACTGCTGGACTGAAATCCCAACTCAATAATATGGAGCATGGACTGTATTAACCAAATACTGATGGGCCATCCCGAGGTGCTGGCGACCAACAAAGGAATCAGGGAGGGTGATGGTCAGAGCATATATGGGTGCATGCGGGAGCGCTCCTGTGCCACCTGATGTGGAGGAAAATTACTGAGTGGGCTGGAGAGCATCCCTGAGATTGCATTTGAGCTGTGAGCCGAACTTGGGGACTCGACTGGCGACCATCAAGGTCCTCTCTGTGGGCGGGGCAAAGTGTTGCCGAACTTGAGAGGCAGAGAAGGTGGAGCTCTGTGAGTCCTAGGGCAGACAGTGCTGTATAATGAGCTCCTATCTCAAAAAGAAAAACAGAAAAGTTAAGTTTTGGGGCTGGAGAGATGGCTTAGTGGTTAAGGGCATATGCTGCTCTTCTAGAGGACCTGGGTTCAATTCCCAGTGGCTCACAGCTGCCTTCAGCTCCTGGGGGGAATCCAACTTCTCCAGCCTCTTTGGGCACCTGTGCTCACATACTTACACCTAAACACAGATACATACACATAACTAAAAATAATCTTTTTAAAAATTCCTCTTTGGGTAAAAGCACTTGCCAGCAAACCTGATAACTTGAGTTTGGTCCATGAGCCCCACATGGAGGGAATAGAAGCCAAAAGTTGTCCTCTGACCTCAAATGCCATGAGACATGAGTGTAAATTAATTAATGCAAATACAAAGATTAAAAATATCCTCTTTGGAGCTGGGGATATGATAGACTTCGTGATTAGTGTGTAGAATGTCCTAGGTTCAATCCCCAGCAGGAGAAAAAAATCCTATTTGGATTCCTTCACTTAAATATATAGAGTTTTTTTTTGTTGTTTGTTTTTTTTTTTTGTTTGTTTGTTTTCTGAGACAGGGTTTCTCTGTGGCTTTGGAGGTTGTCCTGGAACTAGCTCTTGTATACCAGGCTGGTCTTGAACTCACAGAGATCCGCCTGCCTCTGCCTCCTGAGTGCTAGGATTAAAAGGTGTGTGTCACCACTGCCTGGCTGAGAGATTCTTAATATATTACTTTAGATTTTGTTGCTGTTTGTTTTCAGAACAAGATGTCTCTGTTATATAGCCCTGGCAGTCCTAGAACTTGCTCTGTAGATCAGGCCGGCCTCCAACTCATAGATATCCATCTGCCTCTGCCTCCCAAGTGCTGGTATTAAAGTCATCACCACACTTAGTTTTAAAAAAAATACATGCACAGCCGGGCGTTGGTGGCGCACGCCTTTAATCCCAGCACTCGGGAGGCAGAGGCAGGCGGATCTCTGTGAGTTCGAGACCAGCCTGGACTACCAAGCGAGTTCCAGGACAGCCTCCAAAGCCACAGAGAAACCCTGTCTCGAAAAACCAAAAAAAAAAAAATACATGCACATGTATATGTGTACACAGACACACACACACACACACACACACACACACACACACCATTAGCTGGAAATGCTGGTTTTCAGTGTAACACATTCTGTAAGGATCTGCTGTCTGTCTGTCCTCTATTAGCTATCTTAGCTGTGGTCTTCTGATCCTGCTCATCTCTGTACTCTGAGCATGAAAGTGACCAGTGGGCCCCTTAGGCCAAATCCTTAGAGGCCTTTTCAGTCCTGGTTTTCCCTTCTTCACTCAGCTTGTACTTACTGTAGAGCAGGGTACTTGCTACTTAGCTTCTGGCTATAAGGCTTTGTCACTGACTTAGTTAGGGACCTTGAAATGAATCCCTAAAATAATACAAAGTAACTCCTGCCTGTGAGCAGGAGCTCAAATGGTTATTTGTTTTCCCTGGCGTGGGTTGAGTCAGGGCCTAGGGGATACTTCCCAATGTTGAGATGAAATCTGACCCTGCTGTTTTGGGTGTTTTGTTTTGTTTTTTCCAACCATTTCTAGGACCACAAAGACTGTTCTTATAATGTTTCAGGGCTTTTAGATTAGTCTAAAAGGACATTAAAAACTAGTTCTCCAGGAAAAGTGTTTCCTGTTTTCCAGTTATTTTCTTAAGACTTATTTTGTTTTGTTTTGTTTTAAAGATCCTGAACTCTTTTAGTCGACCTCCTGGATCTGTACCCAGGTTGGAACCTGTTGGTTCCTTCACAGCATTCCTAGATATGAACACTTTTTCTGAGTGTTCTCTAAGATTTGGATAGCCTTTGCTAAAATTCTTACCAAAGCAAATCCACTTTTTGCTGGGGAGGGAAATGCACTTATGAGAATGAACACATGGCAAGTCAGATCCCCTTTATCCTGTATTCTCATGGAGTTTTACCAGTTAAATCATTTATTCATTTTTCCCTGTCTCCTGCACCAATCTCAGCCTGTCAGTTTTCAGGGAGCAGACGATGATGGCAGAACCTCTGGGTTTCAGCAGCAGACTTACTGTCTTTATTTTATTGGTGTTGGGTGTTGAACTTGGGACTGTCACTGCATTACACCCACAGCCCCGAATGCACGTTTCCAAGTGACAATTCATGTCTCCAAATGCCTGAGTGCATGAGCACTTACCTCACTCACTTTCTGGGAACCACTGCAGAGTGTGAATGCGTTTGCTTCTTTTCTCTGCTTTACTTACCCCAGCCAAGGCCAGGGTTATTTCCCCTTTTGACAGAGATCAGTCTCTGGAGCTGAGGAGGTTGTTGCTTATGAGCTAATCAATGGGGCTGACGGAACTGCTATGTGTCTTCAAACTCATTCTGGTCTTGGAGAAACCCCAATCATTCTGGACAGACTGCTAGCCCTCGGGTTATTAGTTATTCTCCCCCGAGTTTGGTCAGCTGATGTTCTGGATAACCTTGTCTGCGGTTGCCACTAGAGACCTCACTCCAGGTGAACATAAATGCCCCCATTCTTTGTGCTAATTAGATGTTATTATTTAGCTCCTTGGGACTCTGCCCAATCCTGCAAGTTTGTACTCCAGATTCCCTGGATTCTTTCCCTGTGTTCTTGCCTGGTAACTTTCTTCAGAAGAGAAACAAAGGTGTAGCAAGAGTTGCTAAAATCTGCTTTCTAAAATTTCACAGTTTAGAAGTCCCTGCTCCTGGAGGAAGCATGACACCCAAACTCCATGAAGGAAATAACACTTAGAAAAGGGATTTTGTTTGATTTTCTGACAACTTAAGCTTGAATTGGAATTAATTTAGTTTTTTGTTTTTGTTTGTTTGTTTGTTTTTTGAGACAGGGTTTCTCTCTGTAAGTCTTGACTGTCATGGAACTTGCTATATAGACCAGGCTGGCCTCGAACTCACTGAGATCCTCCTGCCTTGCCTCCCAAGTTCTGGGATTAAAGGCATGCGCCACCACCGCCCAACTAATTTAGTTTTTAATAACTGACACTGAGCCTGGAATTTGGGGATAGTCTGTCACCACCACACCCCTTCTTTTTTGAGGCAGGGTCTCACTATGTAACCTCAGCTGCTCTAAAACTCGCTCTGCAGATGACTGGCCTTAAACTCACATAGATCTTCCTGCCTCTGCCTCCTGAGTGCTGAGATTGAAGGCATGCACCACCATACCTGGCTTGCCTTTTGTATTTTAAAAAGGATTTATATATTAATGTGTAGGTGTGTGTGCCAGAAAATGTTTATGCACACCACATGTATGCAAGCAGGTACCTGAATAAGCCAGAGAGAATGCTGGGTCCCCTGAACTAGAGTTACTGACACTTGCTGCCTGATGTGGTTGCTGGGAACCAAACCCATGTCCTCTGCAAGAGCAGTAAGCACTCTAAATTCCTGAGCCTTCTCTCTAGCACCTTGTTTTGTCTTTTGAGTCAGTCTTGTGCTGACACTCAGGGTGAACTTTACCTGTGAACCAGCAGCCTTGAGCTCATGGATATCCTCCTGCCCCAGTCTCCCAAATGCTGAGATTTCATAGACGAGTCAGCATGCCTGGCTTTGAGAGTAGTCTTGAGTGACTGAACTATAGGTATAGAAGGTCTAAGACCTTCTGAGGCTGGTATTTGTCACTATTGACATCCAGTCTCAGATATAAGGTCTTACATTCAATAATGTTTAAAGTTTTCTCTTAATAGTTTCTTTCCAAACATTATTTAGGAAGTCAATCTTGACTTTTGCCTTTCGAAGCCCAGTTTTGGCTTAAATTGCTCATCTGTGTATTTCAATATGAGCTGAAGAAGTTGCCTGTGAACTAGAGACAGGGCTGCACACACTTAGGATTTATGTGTGTTTGTTGTACACTGACAGAGTGGTTTTAGAAAAACAAGTGATTGGCAGGAGGTACTCTAGTTACTTCCTGGACTGCTGCCTTTGCAGTTTACCGCCCCCCCCAACCATTCTTAAAAACAAAACAAAACAAAAAAAACAAAGTGAACTTGTCTTTCCTGTGCTTGCTGCCTGTGTTGGTACATCCTGGATTTACATCTTGGGGGTTTTGTCTAATATACAGGGTTTTATTTTGAGATTTGGAATATAAACTATTGGGTGACATGGAAGAGAATTGCTGTGTAGGTTACATAATACATTTAAAAAGTTTAAATTGATTTACTGTCCCTGATGGAGTAATGGACACTTGTACAGACTTCATTTGAAAATGAAAACAAGCCAGGCATGGGTGGCGCATGCCTTTAATCCCAGCACTCGGGAGGCAGAGGCAGGTGGATCTCTGTGAGTTCGAGACCAGCCTGGTTTACAAGAGGTAGTTCCAGGACAGGCTCCAAAAGTCACAGAGAAACCCTGTCTCGAAAAACAAAACAAAAAAAAAAAAAAAGAAAGAAAGAAAATGAAAACAAACTTCAATATACTCAAGTCATAGATCTCTCTTGATTGGCACTTGAAGGTAATACTCTGTTAAGTTGTCCTGATACTTTTTTTTTTTTAAATCACCTTCTCCCTGAAAGCACATGAGGTTTTGCAGGCAGAAGTATCCATGGTCCAATCTGATCCATGTAAATGTTGAGCAAATATTTGCACATCTACTGTGTGCCAGGTGTTTTAATCGGTGAACAACATGCAAAAACTGTTCACATCTAAAGTTCTTTTCCTTGCTAATCAGTTACTAGTGCTGCCTGGAAAGAACTTACTGTTGCTTCCATATGCCCTACCGGAGGGACAGGAAGTGCTGAAAACTGTAAAACTGAAGTTCATTCGCTCCTCCTTTCCTTCCTTAATCTTCCACACACACTGGCGTGCATGGCACAGCATGCGTGTGGAGGTCAGAGGGCAGAATGCAGGTGCTGCTTCTCTCTTTTCGCAGTGAAGGTCCTGGGGACTGAACTCAGGTCCGTATCCTTGGTGGCAAGACCCTTACCCACTGAGCCGTCTAAGTCCTTTCTTGGCTTTTCTAGAATAAACTTCAGCTCTTAGGGCTCACTGGTTAGCGTGTTTCCAGAAGATCTCTTGGGTGTCTCGGAGTCACCTTGGACCAAGGCAAATCGTGACAGATTCACTGCTTCATGGACATCGACACCAGTTGCCCACTTTGGGAGATGTAAAATATTCCAATTGACGTAGAAATCTCTGATGGTGGAAAGGGTGGGAGGTGTGGGTGAGGCTACGTCTCAGTGGTTCTCACTGGCTTCTTCAGCTTTGAGTGTTTTACTTCCCATGTCTTTCTGGTCTTCTCTGGGCTTTTAGAATGGATAGACGGTGACTTGGATTCTGAATTGGAATTGTGTGCACAGTGAGGCACACGTAGTAACTGGTGTTTTCCTTTCTCCCCTGGACCTTCAACCCGGGTCTTCATTGCTTCCAGACTTGGCTGCTGCTGCTCTGTGGTGTCCTCTTTTACCTGGCTTCTTGACCCTGAATCGTTCCTACTTCCACTGCTGAGAATCATAACTGGTTTCCTGTTTCTTACCTGAGTAAGACAGGACACTATCTCCAGACTTTCTAAGCACTTTGTATCCTCATCATAATCTTATTTTAACAGGTTAACATGGTTTCCTCTCTGGCCCATAAACTACACATGACCCCCACACATGTCAGCACCAAACCAGCCTGAATGCCATCCTTCCTCCCAAGACACCAGCTGGTGCTCTCCTCCTTCACGGCTCCCTGCTTACCCCTTACCACACTGGTCGCATAGTTCAGCCTGAAGAAGTTGCTATTTTGTGTGTGTCTCATACTTCTGCAGGCTCCTCTGTGTAGTCAGGCCCTCGACAGATGCATGCTCATTGTTCATTGAGTGAAATCTCCTTTCAGATATGCAGACACTTCTGCATCAAGGAATTTGAGAACAAAACTACTCTGCTTTTCTCTTATGGAAGGACTCTTTAGAATGTGTTTCTTGTTTTCTTTTGTAAAAATGGCATTTTGGAGGCGTAGAGTAGATACGAGAATGAGATGACTCGAAATTATACCATCTGTGCCTTCATCTTGTACTCTCTCTCTCTGTCCTCCCTCTCCATCTCTTTGTCTCTGTCTCTCTCTCGCTCTCAGTTTTTCTTTTCTTTTCTTTTTTTTTTTTGTTTTTCGAGACAGGGTTTCTCTGTATTGTTTTGGAGGCTGTCCTGGAACTCACTCTGTAGACTAGGCTGGCCTCAAACTCACAGAGATCCGCCTGCCTCTGCCTCCCGAGTGCTGGGATTAAAGGCATGCGCCACCAACGCCTGGCTCGCTCTCAGTTTTTCAAGACACAGTTTCTCTGTGTACCAGCTCTGGCTGTCTGGGAACTCCTTTATAGACCAGGCTGGCCTTGAACTAATAGAGATGTGCTTGCCTCTGTCTCCTAAGTGCTAAAGGTGTGCACCACCACAGACCTTTTTGCCTCAGCTTCCTGAGTAGCTGGGGTTTCTGGTATATACCACTGTACCTGGCATTAAAATTATTATTAATATTTATTTTAAAAATTTAAGGGGCTGGAAAGAGAGATGGCTCAGTGGTTAAGAGCACTGGATGTTCTTCCAGAGGACCTGGGTTCAATTCTGAGCACCCACTTGGCAGCTCACAACTGCCTGCACCTCCAGTTCCAGGGGATACAACACTCGCACACAGACACACATGCCGGCAAGATACGCATGTACATAAAATAAAAGTAAATCATTAAGCTGGGCCTTGTGACACGCCTTTAATCCCAGTACTCAGGAGCCAGAAGCAGGTGAATCTCTGTGAGTTTGAGGCCAACCTGGTCTACAGATTGAGTTCCAGGCTAGCCAAGGCTAAACAGAGAAACCCTATCTCAAAACAAAACAAAACAAAACAAAAAAACAAAACCAAAGCAAACCCAAACAAAAATCAATAAAGGTCAATGACTAAACATTTTAGAGAGAAAGCGCACACGCGTGCATGCTCGTGTGTGTGTGTGCGTGTGTGTGTGTGCGCGTGTGTGTGTGTGTATGTATGTATGTGCCATGGCACACGTGTGAAGGTGTGAGAATGACTTCCAGGACTGGGTTCTCTGTCTGTAATATGTATATTCCAAGGATTGAACCTAAGTTTGTCAGACTTGGTGGATGACACCCTTACCTACTGTGCCATCCTACCGATCCCAAATAGTTAATTTTGTGAAAGAAATCCTTCCCTCTCTCCCCCTTTTTTCTTTATCTTTTTGAGACAAGATCTCATGCTAACCTCAAATTTGTTTCGTTTTGTATGCTTTTGTTTTTAGTAGTGACTATTTAATTTTTTTCCTACTATGTTATAGAATGATGTGAGGTTGTCATTACCATAACTCAGATTTTTAAGTTTAAAGATACTTGTGTGTCAGGGCCGTTCAGAGTGCGATACTGGTACCAGGAGAAATGTGATTTTCTGTGCCCAAGGAATTGATGGTCTGTCTGTCTCAGGAGAGTGGCAGTGGACTGGAGAACTAAGTAACTGCAGAGTGAGTGGGTGCTTGAGATTGGAGTCTCTATGTTTCTTTGCAATGTAAACTTCTCTGCCTTCAGTAGTGATTCCATCTTCCTACTTTTGTTGCTTAGGTTTGCTTATCTTGGGAGCCTTGAAGTCTTACTCATCATAAAGATCAGGTGACCAGTGACGTCAGCCATGTCTGTGAGGCCCTTTGAAAGTCCACCTCCTTACCGACCTGATGAGTTGTAAGTAGATATTTATTCTTTTTTTTTCCTAATGGGGCCTGTTACATGTAAAAGAAACCTCCATCCATTAAGTATTTGTTTTTAAACAAACCCATCCCCAGTACTGAACCCCTTCCCTCATCAATACCACCCACCGCTTTTGGGCTAGGGGTGTGGCTCAGTTAGTAGAGTATTTGCCTAGCATTCATGAAGTGGTGACTAAGGGTGGGGTGTGATCTGTAGTACTGTATAAATCAGGCATGGTAACACACACCTTAATCCCAGTGTTTGGAAGGTGGAGGCAGAAGAATCCACAGTTCATCTACATAATGAGATTGAAGCCTGGGCTACATGTGGTTTTGTCTCAGAGCAACAAACAAGCAAGCAAAAAACTAAGCCCTGCCGGGCGTTGGTGGCGCACGCCTAAAATCCCAGCACTCGGGAGGCAGAGGCAGGCGGATCTCTGTGAGTTCGAGACCAGCCTGGACTACCAAGCGAGTTCCAGGACAGCCTCCAAAGCCACAGAGAAACCCTGTCTTGAAAAACAAAAACAAACAAACAAAAAAAACCCCAAACAAACAAACAAAAAAAAACTAAGCCCAGGATGAAGTGCACACTTGCAGTCCTAGTACAGGAGGATTATCACAAGTTTGAGGTAGTCTGGGTCTGTGTATGGAGTACCAGGCTAGTTAGGGCTGTGTGGTGGTGAAACTGTCTCAAACAAGCAATCTGAACAATTTTTGCACTTAATGATGTGAATTGTACCAAAGGTTTACAATGAAAAGTGAATTTCCATCTTATGTATAACTTCCAAAATGATAGTTTTCCCCTGTGGAGACAACTGCACTATCCATTTCTAATATTTGCCTCAAGATACTGTCTAGGGCTGGGTGTGGTAGCTCATGCCTTCAGTGCCAGCACTTGAAAGGCAGAGGCAGACTCAGGCAGATATCTCTATGAGTTTGAGGATGGCCAGGGCTATGTAGAGAGACTCTACATTGAAAAACAAACCAAAAAGCAAAGAGATTAACATCCACCAAGATATTGTGTAAGGCTCAAAGTTCTTAGATTCAATTTGATCAAATGTCAGTGGCTCTGATACACGTTGTCGATTTATGATTGAATTACTGGAATATGCAGAGTAGTTTTTATAAAGGAGATGCAGAATCCAGTCAAACATTCCCTGATGAGCTCTTAATGTATAATTGGTTTGCTTTCTTGCTCTTGATTAATTAACTATAGATTATGGAGTGATTTGCTCAATGTTTTACTCCTTGAGTAATAAATATATAATATATGTAACACACACACACACTTCTTCTTGATGGTCCTGGGGATTGAATATAGGGCCCTACCTCTTGGTGCACTACATCTCGTTGCCCCCAACCCCTTTCTTTTCTAACCCCTCTCTGCTGCCAAGCACAGTGCCCAGCGTAAGCCTGCCTGATAACGCCTGCAGTCAGCCTTCAGAGAACAAATGAACCAGGGAGCTTTCCCGGGGAGAAGGACGAGACTGCTAGGAATGGCCCAAGACTCTGAATAGGCTGGTGTGGGTGTTGTGTTTGAAGGCACTTACCTTGTGCCACACAGACTAAACAAAGCTTGACGCCATTGTTCTAAAGCTATGTGGCCCCCGTCCACATAAGCTATGATTTCACTGATGAGATGTGCAAAATCTGAGTTTTTTTTTTCCTCCAGTGCTGGGAGTGGAACCTAGAAACACTTTGCTTACTGTGCAATATTCTACTGAATCATTTCACCAGCCCCATTGCCTGATAATTTATACATTTCCAGATGATCCTTACATGGAACAAATTTTGGAGAACCTTTGCTCTTTGTCCTAGAGTAGTCATTGTCAAGTATGTTTCCAGGACCTTAAGTTCCTGAATCAGCTGGAAACTTGATCCACCACAGACTTGTTCTCCTACAGAGTCAGCCGTCCCCTTTCCCTTTAGCAGGACATTTAAAATAGCTTCATCTATGTGGCTAATTTTATTCCAAGCAGTTTTTAACTTTGGTTTTTTTTATTTGCCCTTCAGCAAACCCAATCATTATGCACCAAGCAATGACGTGTATGGTGGAGAAATGCACGTTCGGCCAATGCTGTCTCAGCCGGCATACTCCTTTTACCCAGAAGATGAAATTCTTCACTTCTACAAATGGACCTCGCCTCCGGGAGTGATTCGGATCCTGTCTATGCTCATTATTGTCATGTGCATTGCCATATTTGCCTGTGTGGCTTCCACACTTGCTTGGGACAGAGCCTATGGAACCGGTATCTTTGGAGGTAGCCTAGGCTACCCTTATGCAGGAAGTGGCTTTGGTAGCTTTGGAAGTAGCTATGGCTATGGTTATGGCTATGGTTATGGCTATGGAGGGTATACAGATCCAAGAGCAGCAAAAGGTTTCCTGTTGGCCATGGCAGCCTTTTGCTTCATCGCCTCCTTGGTAATATTTGTTACCAGTGTTATAAGATCTGGAATGTCCAGAACAAGAAGATACTACTTGATTGTGATCATAGTCAGCGCTATTCTGGGCATCCTGGTGTTTATTGCTACAATCGTGTATATAATGGGAGTCAACCCAACTGCCCAGGCTTCTGGGTCTATGTACGGTTCCCAGATCTATGCCATGTGCAATCAGTTCTATACTCCTGGAGCTACTGGACTCTACGTGGATCAGTATCTGTATCACTACTGTGTGGTGGATCCCCAGGAGGTATGAATAGCTTTTGTTCTTTCCTACGCCCGTCCTTCTCTCCATAAGATTAGAGATACTCAACTAGAGTCTGTAGGTACTCAGCTAGAATAGTCAGTATGGGAGCATTTAAAAAAAATATGTCAAGGTCCTACTTTTAAATATGTCATAATGTTGGGGAAGGGACTGGATGTCACTGTTAAGCCATGACTAAGATTCCATATATTTCTACCTATTTAAAGAATACCTCAGTGGTAGCCGGCAGTGCTTTAATCCCAGCACTCGAGACGCAGAGGCAGGCAGATCTCTGTGCGTTCCAGGACAGCGAGGTCTACAGAGTGAGTTCCAGGACAGCGAAGTCTACACAGAGAGACCCTGTCTTGAGAAAACAAACAAAAAAGAAAACCCCAAAACAACCCCAAACAAATAAATAAAAACAAACCTCGGTGGTTTGTTTTGTAGTCACAGAATTGTGTAAGCACCCCTACAGTTGTGGAACATTTTTACTGTCTCCCAAGGAAACTTCTATGTCAATTAGCAGTTGCTCACAACCTTCTTAACCCACTCTGGGCAGCCACTACTCTTCCCTTCTAGGTTTGCCTGTTCTCTGGTAATTCATACATTTTTCACAATATATGGTCTCTATAATTGGCATCTTTCACTTAGCATGATTTTTTTTTCCCGATACAGGGTTTCTCTGTGGCTTTGGAGCCTATCCTGGCACTCGCTCTGTAAACCAGGCTGGCCTCGAATTCACAGAGATCTGCCTGCCTCTGCCTTCTGAGTGCTGGATTAAAGGCGTGTGCCACCAACCCTACCCCCATGATTATTTTTTTTAAGGTTTAGCTGTGTTTTTATTATGTCCTTTATTTCTTTTTATTGATGAATGATTTAAGAGGATATGTCACATTTTATTTACCCATCAGTTCATGAACACTAAGGCTGCGTCCTCATTGTCTGTTACTTGTGTTATTATGACCCTTGCTGTGCAAGCTTTTGTGTGACTCTTAGTATCTCATGAGTTGTGAGTCTACCTGCAGGTAGATTGATGAGCCCTGTGTGGCTCTAACTTTTTTAGGTACTGTCGGTTTCCCAGAGAGGTTGAGCCATTTTGCAGTCTCTCCAAAAGCGTGTGAGGGTCCTAACCATCCTACTTCCTTACCAGAGCTTGTTATTGTCAGTCTGTCTGATGCTAGTCATGGCTAATGGGTGAGGATGGAACTTCATTATAGGTGGCTGTGTGTGTGTGTGTTTTAAATAGGGTTTTGCTATGTATCCCAGGTTGTCCCTTGAACTCACACCTGTCCTGCTTTAGCATTCTGGGTCCCTTGACTATAGGTGTGCTCCTATGCCCTGCTTGTGTTTTGATTTGTTTTTCCTTGATAGCCAGTGGTACTGAGTTTTATTTTCACGTATGTATTGGGCATTTATCATCATTGGATATTCAGAATCTTACTTTTAAAATTGACCTGTTTTAAGTCTCTTATGGATGATTTGTAAATATTTGTAATTTTGCCAGCCAGGGTCTTACTGTATAGCTCACGTTGGCCTGTAAATTGTGATCCTACTGTAGCCTCAGCCTTTTGAGCTCTGTAATTACAGACACATGAACTACCTTTCCTGGTCCATCAAAGTGAGTTGACTATATGGGTGGTGGTTATAACTCATGTGTGGAAAGCTTGCTTATTATGCAGAAGGCCCTGGGTCAGAAAAATTTGGGACTGGAGATGGTTCAGTGGGTAGAATGCTGGCCCAATAATGAGGACTTGAGTTTGGATCCCCAGAACCCATGCAAGAGCCCCGAGCATGATGGGTGTACACATGTAACCCCAGTGCTGATGAGACAGAAATAGGCAGCTCCCAGGGGCTCACTGGCTAGCCAGTCTAGGTGAAATGTGAAGCTCCAGGTTCGTGGAGAGACTGCTTCTCAAATAATGAAGAGTGATAGAGTAAGTGCCTGCTATTGACCTCTGACCTCCTCTCATAGATAGGCATGCACACTATTGTCGAGTATTCCCATGTGCACACACAAGGAGTACACTCTTGCTTGTTTATGCATGCAACACACACACACACACACACACACACACACACACCACACACCACACTGGTCATAAATGTGAACATTTATTTTTGGAGTCTCATTTGATTCCTTTAATCTATGTTTCTGTCCTTACACACAAACCACTTTGTCTTTTTATTTTAATATTATAGTAAGTTTTGAAGTTGTGAATTATGGATTCTCTAACTTTGTTCAAAATTATTTTGACCAGATTCTGTGTTTCTTGCATTTCCATCTGATTTTTAGGATTGTCCTTTAGGGTAGCCCTTGTGCATGGTGTGATAACTTTTAGTTTTTGCAAGCCACCTGCTAGGACTTTGAAGAGTTGCTCCAAATCTGTAGATCAGTTTCAGGGAATTTTGTCATCATTGCAATTGGAAGTATTCTTTGTTTTTTCTTTTTTGGTGGGGGTGGTGATGGATTTTTCTTTTTTCTATTTTAGTTAGTTAATAATTTACTTATTATGTATACAGTTTTCTGTCTGCATGTTTCCCTGCAGGCCAGAAGAGGGGACCAGATCTCATTATTGATGATTGTGAGCCACCATGTGATTACTGGGAATTGAACTCAGGACCTCTGGAAGACCAGCTAGTGTTCATCTATCTATCTATCTATCTATCTATCTATCTATCTATCTATCTATCTATCTATCTATTTTTGGTTTTTTGAGACAGGGTTTCTCTGTATTGTTTTGGAGGCTGTCCTGGAACTCACTCTGTAGACCAGGCTGCCCTCAAACTCACAGAGATCCGCCTGCCTCTGCCTCCCGAGTGCTGGGATTAAAGGTGTGCACCACCAACGCCCGGCCAGCTAGTGTTCTTAGCCATTGAGCCATCTCTCCAACCCAAATGGTGTATTTTTCAAGACAGGGTTTCTCTGTAGCCCTAGAATTCACTTTGTAGACCAGGCTGGCCCTGAGCTCACAGAGATCCACTTGCCTCTTGACTCCTGAGTGCTGGAATTAAAGGCATACGCAACCATTGACCAGGGCAATTTTAAGTCTTCTAATCAATGGACATAGAATATCTTTCCAGTTCTTTCATGAGTTAGGGCTTCCAGAGTGTTGGGTACTTTTTTGTCCAGGTGATTCCATGTGTTTGGGGGTGTAAAACCCTAAGAAACTGCGAGTCACCTTAATTACATGAAACCACAAATGCTGCTGCTTCATTCTTTTCCCTGAATGAGTCACTCTCTTGGGCTAGACTTTCTCCCCTGTCTGCCTGTCTGTATTTTGAAGATGGAGTGTTTTCCCTGCTGGTGTAGGTTTTCGAGTGCTTGCTGTTACTGTTCAGACCTGTCTGTGGTGAGCACCGAGAGCTGGTAGAATCGGTATACCTATCTCACCACACTCCGGTCCCTCAGAAGCCTCTGGCTACTTGAAACCTACATTCTTTGAAAAAAGGGTGTCACTGTGAGGCAGAGAGTGGGTATGAGAACCTACTGTTACCATAAGTAGGTAACTGGTACTGGCCTCATATTCAAGTGTGCCCTGACCAGTGTACGTCTGCCAGACACTGGGTGAGCCATCAGGAGGAGGAGGCTTCGCTGTCACAAGGCATTGAAGATAACGGAACTTGCCAGACCAAAAGGAATCACTTGTCCATTTGCTCTAATTTATAGGTTTGTAGATTCATACCGTTATCATTTATGTTAAGACAGATCCCTGTGGCCTACCTTACATACAGCGTAAAAAGAGTTGTCAAGCATGTGCCATGAACAGAGTTATAGGTATGACTGAGTATCTAAAGCTGTTTCTGAAATTAGCAGTTTTCAAACTCTTTAGAAGTAGGTATTGAGGCTGGACATAGGTCTGTAATCTTAGCACTGGGGAGATACATGTAAGAAGACCAAGAGATTAAGATCATTTTCAGCGGCCAGGCGGTGGTGGCGCACGTCTTTAATCCCAGCACTCGGGAGGCAGAGGCAGGTGGATCTCTGTGAGTTCGAGGCCAGGCTGGACCGACAGCCTCCAAAACAATACAGAGAAACCCTGTCTTGTAAAAACCAAAAAAAGATCTTTTTCAGCTACATAGGGTTTGAGGCTAGTCTGGGCTGTTTGAGACATTGTCTTAAAAAAAAATTAAATCTGCGTGGTGGTGATGGCAGCAGTGGCAGCGCACGCCTTTAATCCCAGCACTTAAGAGGCAGAGGCAGGATCTCTGTGAGTTTGAGGACAGCCTGGTCTATAGAGCAAGTTCCAGGACAGCCTCCAAAACAATTCAGAGAAACCCTGCCTCGAAACACCAAAAATAAATAAATAAATGAAAAAAAATCAAAACAAAAGCATTGGTTTATTACTTTACTGACTATTTTCACTTATAAAAATCTGGCAACTACAGAGGCACATATGTTCTAGAACCTGTTTCTTGTGACTCTGAAGTGTGTGCTGATAGCTCTGCCTTTAAGCAGGGCTTGCGCACGGACTTGCTTGGTGTGTGTCCATTTCTGTTTATGAGCAGCTGTGCATACTTTGCCTGTGTTTTGTTAACTTTAGTCCAGTTGGTATGGGTTAGTTTTTAATGAAAGAACTAATCTGTAGCAATTTGCTTTAGTTTTGAACCCATTAAACCACAAGTACCCAGGCCCTTTGGTAAAGGTTTTAGCTCCTAGAAGGTGAATTTCAGTTAAAGCAATGAAAATTAATTGTGCCAACATCTTTCACCCCCTTTTAGGCTATAGCCATTGTCCTGGGATTCATGATTATCGTGGCCTTTGCTTTAATCATTTTTTTTGCCGTGAAAACCCGAAGAAAGATGGACCGGTATGACAAGTCCAATATTTTGTGGGATAAGGAACATACTTATGATGAACAGCCCCCCAATGTTGAAGAGTGGGTAAGTGTAAACAAAACAAACCACTTTTAACCTTTTATTAAATTTCCAGTGTCTGTCCCTAATTGTTTTTGTATTTTGTTAAACTTCATGCTTAGAATTTTTGTGTTTGTATAAGTTGTTTGTTTTTTGCTCAGAACTTTTGAAAGATGGGTAAATGGAAATCACTTTTTTAAAGGGTGAAGTCATTTCTGTTTTCAGGGAGTAGATCCAGGCTCTGGAAGGGATTCCTCCTAGAAAGTCACAGAGAAAGCTTGGCCTTTGCAGAGTACAAGCAACTCTTCTCCACCCCTTTATTTCTTTGCTTTACTGTTTTGAAGAAAACCCTGTTGCCCTGGGGATGAGGGCAGCTGGGTCAAGATTAGCAGAGACATTTTGGGAATGATCACTTTGGTAACCTTCTCAACTTTTTATGTTGATAGCATCATGGTTAACCTCAATGACTCATTCTTTATCCCATTTACCTATCAAATACTTCAATATGACAGACAGATTATAGGAGTTTCTGTTTTAGGAAGGAAGGTAATATACTGTAAATATTAGCAGACTTTAGCCAGGCTGTGGTTGCACATGTCTTTAATTCCAACACTTGGGAGGCAGAGGCAGGCAGATCTCTGTGAGTTCAAGGACAGCCAGGGCTACACAGACAAACCCTGTCTTGGAAAGAAACAAGAAAAACAACAACAAAAAACCCAAACAGACAACAACAACAACAAAAAACAAGCAATCGAGGTAGGTGAAGGTAGGTGTAGGAGTTTGTGTGTGTGTGTGTGTGTGAGTGTGTGTGTGTGTGAGTGTGTGAGTGTGTGTGTGTGTGAGTGTGTGATGGCACACTTCTTTAATCCTAGCACTCTGGAGGCAGAGGCAGGCAGGCAGATCTCTGTGTGGAAACAGATCTTGTTTCTGTAGGGATGCTGTGAAAAGCAGCTATAGAAACTTTTTTCTATTTTTCTTGAATATTTTTTTCAGTACTGGGGATGGCCCTAGCCTTGTGTTTGCACGCTCACAAGCTGTTGCCCTTATATCCCTAGGTTTTTGTGCTTGCTCCCTGTTTAGATCTTTGTGAATCTGTGTCGTGAACTGTGTGTGTTCCTGCTTGTGAGTGCAGGCTTGTGCACTTGTTGTGGGTCTGTGGGGCTGGCAGAGGACAGCCTTGGGTGTTGGTCCTCATCTCCCACTCGTTTGGGGCAGAGTCTCTGTGCTTCACCTGCCAGGCCAGCTTGCCCTGGGGCTGCCTGGGATCCTCCTATCTGCCTCCATCTTATCTTAGAAGAGCTTCCATTACAGATTTGCCACCACGTCTGGCTTTTACCCGGGTTCTGGGGATCTAAACTTACATTCTCCCACTTCCAAGGCAAGTGCTTTAACCATCAGTCTCCCCCACACCCCTGTACTTCCCATTTTTGAGATAGCATCTCCTTGACTTGCCCAGGCTGGATCTGAACTCACTCTGTAATCTATGCAGGCCTCCCAAGTAGCCAGGACCCTAGGCCTTTACCACCAGATCAGCTCTGGCCATGAAAATTATTGGGATTACTGGACCCTGGCTGACTCTAGGGTAGGGTTGTTGTGGCCACTGGCAATGGGGTATAGGAGGCTTCAAAAGAGCTGTTGGATACAGATAAAGTGCCCTTTAGCTCTAGCATTCTAAATGCCAGAATTGTTAGGAAATCTACAAGCTTAGATGCAACTATTTCTAGCTGTTGAAGGGGGCAGACAAAGGCATGTTAAGAGCGATGGGTGCTAACCCCTTTCCGTAGGAAGCCACTTGTCTGTGAAGTGTGAAGTTGCTGTACAGGAAGCATTCTCTGTCGATCTTTAGCTCCAGGCGAGGCCACCTGTAGATGGACTAGGATAGTCCATTGTGGACTACGAAGTAAATGTTTTGCTGAGAGTTTCTGGGTGTGTCGGTTTTCACTGGCTGTTGGATTTGTTTACTTAAGGTTTCGAGAGGACTTTAAAAAAATAAATAAATAAACTGGCTCGAGGGAGACCAGTAATATTAGAGTCACCGTGAACTTTAGTCTCTTGCCTGATCTACTGTCAGGAAGGTTTAATCAGTTGTAAGTGTTTTGATAACTTGGCGACAGGCAGTAACTCATGAAGTGTGGTGAGGGAGGGAAGGGTAGTTCTCTAAAAGGCATCACTTGTGGCTGCTGGAGTAGCTCTGTGGTAGAGAACTTGCCTAACGTGTAGAAGGCCCTGGGTTCAACCCCCAGCCCAACATATACACACAAAAAGGTATTATTTTGTATGTAGTGCCTTATAATAAGTGACTTGGGTATTTTAGCATCAAGCAGTTTGTTTTTTCTTCTAGTCTTCTTTGCCTCCCCAAGCTCATTCCACTGACCTTAGTTACTCATTGCATTTCAACCCCAGATGCTCCCTGTGCCTTTCTCCTCCAGTGGTTTTCACTCTGCCCTCAGGCTGCTGCGTGGAGATGCAGCTCTGCACGTGAGTGCAGCAGAAAGTCTTTGTCGATTTGGCCTTAGCAAAGCGTAATGGCTTGTGCTAAGTGCGGATTAGAATTTGACTTTATACATCATGGGACCTTGAGTTAAGTCTCCAGTGCTGGGGGAAAATAAGGATCTTAGTAGTTGTGGACCCTAAGACAAGGGTGCTAAGACAAGGGACTTCTTACATATTGGTGGCATGGGGGTGGGAATAAAGTGTTATTCAGTATGCCCTGCAAATTGGAATAGGTCTGAAAATTTATTGCCATTCTAGATCTTGTCACCTCTTCTGATTTAGGGTCACTCTCAAGGTTGTCAGGCTTGGTAGCAAGCTCCCTTACCTACTGAACCATCTTGCCAGCCCTGTTTTGATTTGCAATTTTTTTTTCTAGATAGGTCTTGTTATATAGCATAGGTTGGCTTTGAACTCTTTATGTAGCCCAGGCTGGCCTTAATCTGTTAACCCCTCTTTTCTCAGCCTCCCAAGTAGCAAGGATCACAGGTGTGTATACTACCACTTTTGTGTTATTTGTGGAAATTAGGCCCCTGCCAGCTTATGGAAACTTTCTGCTTTCATCTTACCTGTTTTGCTTTATGAGGTATCTTGGTGAATGTTCCTTACTGCTCACATGGCCCGATGGTGTGATTATGCTGTGATTTGCTGATGGGTAAATTTCCCATTTCATATTGCAAACAGAGGTAAGAATAAAAAAAAAACTCCTTTGTATACCTTTCATAAATATCTACAGTTATAAAGGATAGATTCTCCACAGTGGTACTAGTAGGCTAATGGGTACAAATTTGGAGTCATTAGATACCAAGAAATTGCCAATTTTAAAGCAGCATCACTTATGAATTGCATGACTGTGGGGTTTAATTACCATACATTTACTTTTTCCTTTCTGATTTTTTTTTTTTTTTTTTTTTTTTTTGGTTTTACGAGACAGGGTTTCTCTGTATTGTTTTGGAGGTTGTCGGTCCAGCCCGGCCTCGAACTCACAAAGATCCGCCTGCCTCTGCCTCCCGAGTGCTGGGATTAAAGGCGTGCACCACCACCGCCTGGCTTTCCTTTCTGATTTTTAATTAATTCTTAAAAAATTAAAATATAAAATTATATCATTTTCCCCGTTCCCTTTTCTCTCTCTAATCCTTCATGTGTATTTTCATCCCCCACAGTTTTGCTGGTAACATTCTCTTTGTGGACATACATTAAGCCAAAACTAGTTCTGCTGTTGCTATTAGGTTTTGTCAGTTTTGGGTATTCTAAATACTGACTCTTGTTTGTGATAATTTGTCATGAGTTCTTAGTATAAAAGGAATTTTTTCAAGGTGTCTGGCACACACCTTTAATCTCAGGAGGCAGAGGCAGGATGATCTCTGTGAGCCTGGTCTACATAGTGAGTTCCAGGTCAGCCAGGGCTGCATGGTGAGACACTGTCTCTAAAAACCGAAAACGAAGAAACAAATGAACCTTTGTGTGTGTGTGTGTGTGTGTGTGTGTGTGTGTGTGTGTGTGCATTTACGTGCGTGCGTGCGCGCGCTCTCTCTCTCTCGTGTGTTTATGCTCCTGTGGGGCCATTTGAAGGCATTGGATGCAGGTGCTGGGCATGGAGCTCCAATTCCCTGGAAGAGCAGGAAGTGCTGCTAACTACTGAGTCTCTGCAGCCCTTGTACCACAGTTTCTTCATTCACTAGTTGATAGACCCATAGGTTATTTGCATTTCTTTAAGAACATTTATTATAATTTTCATGCATATGGTGTTTTGCCTGCATGTGTGGTGATACACCATATGAATGCCTAGTGTCTGCAGAGGCAAGAAGAGGATGTCGAATCCCCGGAACTATTGTAACCCATGGTGTGGGATGTTGTGTGGGTGATGGGAATCCTGGGTCCTCTGAGAGAGCAGCTGTGCTCTTAGCTACTGAGCCATCATCTCTCCAGCCCCATTAGCATTTCCTGAGTGTTGTGAGTAGCAGCGGAGTAGATGCAGAAGTGCAGGCGTCCTTTTCAGTATTCAGTATTCGTGGTGTATTCCTTGAACCATGCTGTGGCTCTGTCTGTGAGGTTTTTAGGAACTTCCCTATTGTTTTTTATATGACTGTACAGGTTTACTTCCCCAACAACTGTGCAAGAATTCCCATTACTCTGTATCTGTGCCAGCATTTCTCTAAGCAGCTTGTCTCCAATTGTTTCCATTTGCCTTGGTTTTAAAAGCTCTGCAAAATCCGCTTGCTGATTACATGTGGAATTGCTCATTTTCCAACATGTTTTCCTGGTCTGGATATTATCAGTCTTTAATTTCTGTCAATTTTCCGAGTTTCGTTTAAAACATTTTGTGGTTAAGCAGGTTCATCTGCCACTCATGATCTTATCACTTACATAGCTCGGCTTAGCTTTCCTTTGGACTGTTCTGTCTTTGCTTCCTGCCAGGCTCATATAAAGATTATTATGTTAATGTTGCAGGATACATTTCCAGATTGCTGAGGTCGCTCCTTTGTCTTCAGTGTTCTTTTAAAGCCGGCTCCGTGGAGTACGATTGACAAGGCTTT